AGGGACAGGGAAGCCTGGCGTGCTGCAGTCCATGGGGTTGCAAAGAGTTGGATAGGACTTGGTGACTGAACAACAACAACTTCAAAGTTTGTGCTGTTTCTAAAGAGTAAATGAAGGCATAGTAATTGTAATAAGGAGTCATAAAAATATCATGCTATTACCTAGGTCATAATATTATCTTTCTGTTATTTAACAAAGTTAAATGGAATTTTATTGATAAAGAAATGGATCATTTGATATACTCACAAGTTCATATTTCACTAAGGAGAGCAAATCTCAGGCTTTCCTGGTAGCTTAGTGGTAAAGCATTCGCCTGCCAGTGCAGGAGACACAGGTGTGATCCCTTATCTGGGAGAATCCCACATGCCGTGGAGCAACTAAGTCCAGGTGCCACAACCATTAAGCCTGTGCTCTAGAGCCCAGGAGCCCTATACAGCCTGTCCTCTTCAACAAGAGAGGCCACTGCAGTGAGAAGCCCTCGCGTTGCTACTGGAGCGCGCGGCCACGCTCACCACGACTGCAGACAAGCCTGCAGCCGCAAAGGCCCAGCACAATCAACAATAAACAAATTATCAAAAAACATGGCAGATCTCTTTTCTTCCGAAAATGTGGTATTGTAAGGATGAAAAGATAAATTTTGAATAGTTATATGTCAAATTAAGTATGTTGAGTAATTTCCAAACTTGTTAGTAAAATTTATCAGTATAATGGGGGCTTAGAAATTTCATTTTCTTATTGATAGAGCTAACTGGAAGTTTCTGTGATTTTTCAATATTTGGACTCACTTGTCTTAATTTAACTGGAGTCAGGCCTTCTTTTGTGAAGTACTATTTTCCTTAAACTGGGAACCTACTAATAATTTCAATTTAAAAAAAAGTTGTGGCAAAAGGACTTTTCCAATTCTTGGCAAGTTTGAAGTTCATTGCAATTTTACTGTGGATAGAAATCTTTCCAAAGGGGGGAAATCACTCTACAAAGGAAAACTTTGAATCCTTTTCTCTCATGTGACTTGAACATAAAATGATTTTAACAGCCATGTATGAATCTGAACATTATTCTTAGTTGTTTAGTACTTCAAAAGCACGTTCAGAAGGGAATTGTTTTGCTTATTTGTGATTCCAAATCAAATACACAAGAGAGATTTGGAAAATTTGCAACAGGAAGTAATCTCAGTTCTATGTAGCCACTAATCTGGTGCAGAATAATTCAACTTTTATGAACAAAGGAAAAGCAATCTCTTTTAAGTTATAAATACAAGTCAGTGTAGCTTGTATTGTTTTAATAACTGAAATGAAGAAGCTGACTGTAAGTTCATTTTTTTAACTACATTCCTAGAATCATTTTAGAGTTGACTGGGTCCTGAGAAACCTAATTCAATAGATTTCCTACTCTGTAGGAATACTCCCTTTATGTGTTACTACATTAATAACTATATAGTATCTACATATCTCTTTAGAGTTATATATAACTCTTTCATATTTTTCACTTCACTTAATCTTGACAACTCTGTGAGGCAAATATTCCCATTTATGTGTGGATAAGTGAGAGGTTTTGAAGTTTACTCAAGATCATCTAGTTAGTAAGTGATAGGGCCAGTATAAGAAACCAGGTCTTTTAACGGCAAATCTGATGCCTTTTGCATCATATTGTCTTGTCTTTTTATGTGCATTTCTTAGTTGGATATCACAATGTTGGCTGCAGTCCATTTCAAGATCAATTAAAATCTCTAGGTCTTTTTCATATGTTTTTAAGTCAGGTTCTTGTCCTGTACATCTATAATTGGTATTTTGAACTTAAATATAGGACTTTGTTTATCCTCATTCATTTTCATTTTATTATTTTCTACTTATTGTTCTAGCCTTCTGAGATCTTTTCAGTCTTGATTCTATTATCCAGTTTATTATTTCTTCCAGCTGTGTGTCAACAGCAAGTTTTATAAGTAAAGTGTCTTTGTGATTATAGGAGCCGTCCTAGTAATCTAGTATTCCGTGTGCCTGTTACATAGTTGGAACTTAATAAGTGATAATTGATTAAAAAAGATATTTGTACAAGGCAGAGAGAAAACCCACATAGAATCTCGTACCAAAAAAAAAATATGCTCAATATAAATACTTTCAGTTTTGGATATAAATATTGCAATGTTACCATAGCACCATTATGGTTCTCTCTTGTATTTTGTTATGTTTATAAATGATGTTTTTCATGGTAGATATAGTGGCTAACTAATTTCCTTTCTCATATCAACTTGTTATCAGTATTTTAAGAATTCATTGCCTTATAACACTAGTTTTCTGAAACTGGCCTATTCTGGCTAAAGACTAGAGAATTTCTATTGGTGGCCTGAAGAGAAGAAATCTAGTTGTCAAGAGGGCTATGGAACTTATTTTACAACTGTATTTATATAGCAAAGAGAGGTTTTTACTCAGATGGAAGTTTAAAATTAGTAAAAATAACTTTCTAAAGAAATTTTTATTCATATGAAGTATAAGATCGAGACAATGTCGATTGTGTTCAATAATATAATTATTGTGTTTTTATGTAGAGTGTTTTATGAGTGATACTAGGGCTTCCCTGGTGGCTCAGATGGTAAAGAATCTGCCTGCAGATCTTGGGTTTGCCTGCAGGATACCTGGATTTGATCTCTGGGTCAGAAGATTTCCTGGAGAAGGGAATGGCTACCCACTCCAGCATTCTTGCCTGGAGAATCTCATAAACAGAGGAGCCTGGTGGGCTACAGTCCATGGGGTTGCAAAGAATCGGACACTTCTGAGTGACTGAGCACACACACAAAAGTGGTCCTGATGCAGGTTTTATAGTGGGAGGTTGAAGTCCCTCAGATCACCTGTAGGTGCATCACTATCTGGGTATTATGGGAGTGCTCCTTGCCAGCCACTTACGTCCATTTGCTTTCATGGTCTTAACCATGCTCTTTATAACTCTTTGCAAGCAGTAAATTTATAATTTTCTGTATAGACAGTTACCTTGGTGAAATGAAAGAAACATTGTGTGAAAGTATATTAACAGTATTGGTTTTGTGGATGGAAGTAAAAGTTTTTGGATAATTTACTACAGTAATGATATGATGTAATATAAAATTTATTCTATTAACTATTTATTTTAATAACTTTATTAAATGTTTTAATTCTCTACTTATGAAATTAATACAATACAGAAAGGGATTAAAGGTAAATCCCTAGTTAAAGCCTTCAATTGTATTTTAGGGCATCTCATGGTAGAACCTATTTAATAGTAGTTGCATTCTTGTGGATTCATGACGATCTTGGACTATAGCTCCATCCATTGTCAAAGCCTACTGTATTTCACTTTTGAAAAAAATAGTTTTTGATCTTTTGCATTTTCACATTTTTTCAATTTTGTGTATTTTTGTGCTTAAATGGAAGATAAATTCTAATTGTCTGAATCTTCAGGCAAATTAAACATAATTTTTAGTATTCTGGGAGTTAGAGGCTCTCATAAATACCATTACTCAAAAAGATAAAATTTGTCATCCTGAGAAAACTTGCTTTTATGAAGCAGCTGGACTGGGGACTATTCTAATTTCTTCTAAATTATAGTCAGTGGGTTTCACTGCCATTATCTCTGCAAACATCTGAGGGGGTTAATGCAGTTATCTCTCTGAATATAAAACACAATGTATAATTACTGAAAATATAAAATTGTGCTGTTTTAGGCTTCGTGAAATGTATCAATACATGCTCTGAGCTTTGTTCAGCATGATGTAGTTATACTTTGAAGTATTAATTTTTAATTGTTGAAGTCCTCTTTATTTAATCATGTATTTGAAATTTAAACTTGTTTATTTCTGAAAAGGATTTGAGATGATTTCTAATTATTTGGAGAAATCTCATTATTATAATAACTAAATGGCATTATACAGCAGCTGCAATTGTTGAAATTTGCATTGTCTGTGTAGATTACTTTGTTTTGAAATTAATTCCTGTTCTTAAAACAGCCACTGGTTTTATGTTTACAGAATGTATTTCCAAAAGTGTTTTCTTGACATCCTTTTCAGTGCTTAAGAATTAAATTTAGCTTTCTAATTTTCTCCTATTTCTCATGTTTTAAGATAATTGCAGGAGTATACTTTGAATACTCAACAATTAAATCACTTGGTCAAATCTTCTTGTTTGTTGTAGTTTAGTCACTAAAGTCCTGTCTGACTCTTTTGCAATCCTATGGACTGTGGCCTGCAGGCTTCTTTGTCCATGGCATTTCCCAGGAAAGAATACTGGAGTGGGCAGCCATTTCCTTCTCCAAGGGATCTTCCCGACCCAGGGATCGATTCCACATCTCCTGCATTTCAGGCAGATTCTTTACTACTGAGCCACCAGAGAAGCCCATCTTATTTCTTAATTTTCTAAATATTCAAGTTTTTAATTGAACAAAGCCTTTCACTCAGCACTGTTTTACCTTGTTTCTTTGTTGGTTGCCTATTTTTGCTTCTTTTACCTTCTCCTATTTCTCTGTTTCATCCTACTATCTCTCCCTTCCTTAATTTCTCTAATTTCTTTTCCTAAAAGAGTTTAGTCTGTAATTTGTTAAAATTAAAAGCTTCTATTTTTCTAGGATTGTGTATATCATGTATATCATTATTAAACTTATGATAAAACCCACTTTTTTTTTTTTTTTTAAAACCCACTTTCTAAAGCAACTCGGACAGAGAAATGTGTAGCAAAGGGCTTTGTAGAGTTTATAATTGATTTGGTAGGCTTTTACAAAAATTTTCAAAAACATACACAAAACAGGTATTACTAAAAAAAAAACAAAAATGCTAATTGTAGCAGTGAATGAGTTTGCAAACTATGGAATATTAAGGATTAAATAGATAGATGATGAAATTTGCCAGTAGATAATGAAATTTTTAAGGGGAATTTTTATGGTACCTCAATTACTACAGAGTATATTTCTATATAGATGAAAAAGTATGTCAAAATAAAGGTTAAATTGCATATTTTCTTCTTCTTTCTTCTTGTTACTAGACGAAACAAACCTTAATTAGATCTCAGTTTGCCTGTACTTATAAAGATGACTGCATGATAAGCAAGGATAAATGGAATAATGTTAATTCAGCATCAAAGCCTTCATGTGTTCTTCACATGGAAAATGACCCTTCTGGTAATTGACCTAATTAAACAACTTAATAACAGTTTAACGCTAGTGTACTAATTGGTTTTAATTTAAGTAAAACTAGATTTTTTTTTTGTAATGTAAAAGTTTATATTTTTAAAGATGAGTTTATTTTAAAAGTTATATCTAACTACAAATTGGTGTATAGAATTAGGACTTAGTTTGATTTAGCTAAATGTATTTAAGAAATAACTTGTAGTAGTATTTAAGGATTGTGTTGTGCATTCAGACAAAGCAAATTTATTGTTTGTAGGGATGAAAAATGATATGGTAAAATGAAAAGAAATGTGATAGTAATATTGCTGTATCTGTTAGTAATGTAATTTATAGCATTATTTGATTGTAAATCATAAGTTTTAAAATTCTTTATCTGTTTAAAAATTTTGTAAAATCTCATGTGTAATAATTTTAAGTATTATATAATTTCTTTTCTCTTTTCATCTTGCATAACAGAAGGTGTAAATTCTTCTGTTGGAAGACCAACAATTGGAACAAGTTCTGGAAATGTTCATGTGGGCAGAAGTAAAAAAGAAAAAGTAGCAAGAAAATCAAGTAGTCTGACAGGAAATACAAGCTCAAAAAGGAAACAGGTGGATTTGGATGATGAAAATATTCTCTGTGATAATGGAAACGAACCACTTCAACAGAAAATTGTTAAGATACCCAAGACATCAAAAGATTTGCAGAATAAATTGGATGGTAAACTACTCAGAGTTGCAAAAAGCAATAGATGTACCACCAAGGACAAATTGATTACTGGCCAGACGAAGTTGACTCAGTTTTTTAGACTATGAAATTATCTTTTATGTTCTTTAGGTTTGTGTATATATATATATAAAACCATTTACCAAATTCTTTTACTTAATTTTTAAGCAATGAAGGTGTAAGTTATAGTACTTTATTATTTTGGTCTGCAGTGTACGTATGGTTAACATATTAAGCATTATTTTAAAAAAATACTAGTAAGTCATAATTATGCAGAAAATTCATAAAGTTTAATGCACAAGTAAAGCAATCATTTAGGCATAACTTAATACCACTTTCTTTTAAAACAGACATTGAAAATAATACAAATCATAGTAACATTAAGGGCTTTTTTCCCGAGAGGCAATTAAATGATTTTGCTTTCTTTTTAAACAATGATGTGGACCAGCAGGCATCAGACTTGCCAACAAGGTCGATAGACTCTTCCCAGCATACACCTGAGCACTGAAGGAAAAAAAAAATTAAATTGTTTAAAGGACTAGTATCACACAAAGTTGATTAGAAATAAAAGAATGAATCTTGTATAGCTAATCTGAGTAAATTACAATTATAATAACTAATTAAATACTTTTTAATTTCACATCTTTTGCAGGAGTTACTTAATATCAAGTACAAGTTGAACCATGGTCTTGTTTGATTCTGTTATGATTGGACACAATTTCAGTTAAATTCAAAGTTCTATTTTATGATATTAAGGTATAAGAATTCAATTTTTAAAAAACTACTCACTGTCAAAATCTCTCCTTCCTATAGGAAACTTAGCTGAGTTTTCTTCATCCCCAATTTCTCTCTTTTCTTGTGTTGATTCAGTATTTTGAACTTCATTCTCAACTGGAAAAGCTACAGATCCTTTTAGTGCAAGATAAGGTTTTATAGCCAGATTCAGTGGCAGGCCATGATTTAAGAAATTATGTTTGGAACCCGCATTCTGTAAAGAAAAGGTTGATTTGTGTTTTAACTGTTCTATTGGGAATATAATACATTGTGTAATATTCTTATTGATCAATTTAAAGATGCCCAGCACTGTTTTGACTCTTTAAGAAATACTTTAGATACAAGATTTTCAGGGAGTAAAAACTTTTTTAATAAGAGACATTTCCCAGATTGGAAGGACAACCTGGTATGTATGAAATTTGTTTAATTGTTCTAATGCATACTGTGACTTTTTTTCACATGCTTCTACTTATAAAAGTATCAACTTTACTTTCAAAGGATTCATAAAGATCATTCAAATTTCCATTGAAATAAAGGACAAGTCACATTACCACTTACCTTTGAATTTTTGTTTTCTTCATCATTCATGAAACTGCTCTCATCATTTTTATATTGCTCCAGGGAAGGAACAACAATTGATTTTTCTGCAGTATCTTCCTTCTGAAAGGCTTTCCCCAGCCTCAACGTTTTAAATACCATATCATCTTCTAAATTTCTTATCGACTTGGATGCTGAAAATGAAATGCCTTGAGAAAGCAAAGAAAAAGTTAGTATTAATATGTAGGAAGAGAAACTCATTTTTGCCATCCTTAGTTTGATGTTTGCATAGAGTCAAACAAGGATGTATAAAATGAAGTGAAATTTCTCAGTCATCCTGCTTTATAAATGATTCTTGCCTTTATATATTTTCCAGCCTGAATAGAAAGCACTTGAAAAACTTTCATCATTTTAGAAATGACTCATCAGATAGAAACCAACCTTTTGTGTAGCTGGTAATACCCACATTGTTTTGGTTTTAGTGGCATATTGTTTGAGTGTGAATTTTCTCAGAATCTTATTATTAAGATCCTTGGTAGAAAGCTTTGTGTTGAGGAGATTATAGTCTCTTGAAAATGAGTTCTTATTAAGGAAGACCGCAGGACATCAGACTCTCCATATTCTTGTTTGTTTATATTGTTTCCTTCTGTATATTTTCAATTAAGTACAATATTAAAGTTACTTCTTTCACTCAGGATGTGTGTGTGTGCTCATGCTCAGTCATGCCCAACTCTTTGCGACCCCATGGACTGTAGCCCACCAGCCTCCTCTGTCCTGGAATTTTCCAGGCAAGGATACTGGAGAGGGTTGCCATTTCCTACTCCAGGGGATCGTCCCAACCCAGGGATAGAACCTGCGACTCTTGCATTGGCAGGTGGGTTCATTACCACTATTGACACCTGGAAAGCCCTTCACTCAGGACTATAAGGGTCAAAGTTTCAATCCTGATTAAATTGAAATAATCTTCAACAAGACTTTTTTTTTTTTTTCCATAAATGCTTGGAGTAGTCTTTGGTGTTTAAAGTATATATGCCTGTGAGTGTGAAAAAAAGGTCACATGTGCTATATCTAAGATTGACCTATCAGCTGTGTTTCTATCTTTGTATTTACAGAAGATTATTACTAATATTTATTAGTGAATTTAGCTGGTCCATAAAGAGAATATTTACATTGTCCATAAACCTTCATTTTGGATAATGAGTGTGTTGTATAATTTTTAATTAAACATTTCAGAGTTAATTTCTAATGGTGACCCTGCCAAGTAAGAGAATACATTCTTGTATATATTCTTCTGGTATATATGTGCCATAGTTTTTCTAGGCTGTATTTCTAGTTTTGGCATTGCTGGGTCACACAGTATGTGCATTTCAGCTTTTTTAATGCTGACATGGTTACAGAATAGTAATAGCCAGTTTAAGCCCCCACCTGCAAGGTATGAGAGTTCTTACTGCTGTAGGTTCTACTTAACACTTGGGTATCTTATTATCATTTAATGTTTATTCCTCTAATTACCAAGGAGGTTGGATTATGTAAAATACCATTTAAAGAAAACATTTTTCATTATTGGGTTATTTTTTTCTTGTTGATTTATGGAAGTTTAATATATGTTGGATATTAATTCTTTGTTATGTGTTTTGATTTTTTTAATTACATTATGTCTTATCTTTTGAATCCCTTCATGATGTCTTTTGGTGAACCAAGCTCCTAAATTTTAATGTTTTAATTTTTTGTGTGCTTTTTGTGGTTAATATTTTTAATATGCTGTTATTTGGAAGTCCTTCCAAACCCTGAGATCATTAACATATTTCTATATTTTCTAGAAGTTTAAATGTTTTGACTTTCACGTTTAAATTCTTAATTCATCTAGAATCTTCTGTTTAAGAGCTAAATTTTAACTTACTCCAGACGTCCTTAATTTCTCAAATAACTCATGTTCTCCCTGCCAATCTGCAGTGCCATCTCTTCAGTGTATTAGGTTTCTATGCATGTGTAGGTCTCTTTCTGAACTCTCTATTCTACCGCCAAATCTACAGTATTAATTGTTATAACTTTGAAATAACTTCTGATATCTGGTAGGTCAAGTTTCTCAGCCCTCTACTCAGGGACCAGTTTTTCTTCTGTAGAAGTTTCTTGGCTGATTTTGTCCGTTTCTTTTCCATGTAAACCTTGGAATTTTGAAGGGAATTGCATCTGTCCTACAGATTAATTTTGGAGGTGAATTGACACTCTTAAGATAATTTACTTATTCATGGACATGGTACTTTTCCATATTTATTAAGATCTTCCTTGATCTTTTAATAATATTTTATTGTTTCCTTCATTTCTTTTTCTTATATATCTTTGTTGCAAGAATTGTATTTGTTTATAATCTTCCCAGGTCAGACTAGTGGTAAAGGGCCCACTTGACAATGCAGGAGACTCAGGTTTGATCCCTAGATTGGGAAGGTCCCCTGGAGGAGGAAATGGCAACCCATTCCAGTATTCTTGCCTGGACAGTCCCAGGGATAGAGGAGCCTGGCGGGCTATAGTCCATGACCTTGCAAAGAGTTGGACTCAACTGAGTGATTAATTATGTAATTTAATTAAATTCTTTATTTTTAGTTATTATAAGTGATAGCTTTTAAAAATTTACCTTTTCTAACATCATTGCTGGTTTGTACACATGCAGTTGGCTTTTCTCTAGTGTTCTTAAATACAAAACACTTGTTAAAATCTTGAATTCAATAGTAGCAATAATTCTTTAATTCAGTAGTTTATATTAATTCTTTGGGATTTCCTTTGAAGACAGTTGATATAAATAGTAATGATATGTTATTTCCTTCTTGGAAGTGTGTGTGTTTGTGTGTGTTTATCTGTGTCTGTCCATGTGTGCAAACAGACTGACTCAAACTGTGAATGTTGGATATGGAAATAGTAATTCTTTGCAGTATTACTGATTTTACAGAGAATGCTTTTTTTTTTCTTTTAACTTTTCATCATTGAATGTGATGTTCGCTCTTGATTTTTTTGTAGGCGCCCTTTATAACTTGGAGGATGTTCTTTTCTATTTTTAGCTCACAAATAATTTTTATCATGAATTGTTGAATATTATTGAATGTTTTTTCTGCATCTCTTGAGATAATTGTATTTTTTCTCTGCCAGTCTTTCATTTAGAAAGTGAACAGATTTTTCGCATATTAAGCCAACCATGTATTTATGAAACAAACCTTTTAAAATATTATTGAGTTCAATTTGGTAATATTTGATTTATGCATTTTGCATTTATTATCATGAGTGAGACTGATCTGTAATTTTCCTTTCTTCTATTGACAACATGATAATATGTTGTTCAAATCTTGTTTGTCATACTGATTTTTTGTCTTCATGAATTATCAGTTATAGAGAAATATTTGCAAATCTTTCATTATGATAATGGGTTTATTTCATTCTATTTCTAGTTTGCAATGTTTCCTTCATTTATTTTGAGCTTATTATGACATTAAGAGTAGAAATTGTTTTGCCTTAAACCATGTATCATGACCCTCTTTAGCTTTAATAATGTGTCTTTTACTATAACTTTTCCTGTATCATCTGTATGTTTTATATGTGTCTGTTGTAAATATCATATAGCTGAATTTGGAATATTTTGTCTGACAGTGGTCTTTGTCTTTTACTTGGAGAGTTTAGTCCATTTACATTTATCTTGTTTATTGAGTTACTAATATTCAGTGCTACTTTCTTTTGTGATTTTTATTGGTTCTAATATGTTTTCTCTTTCCCTCTATTGCCTTCTGATTTGAATTTAATATATTTTTTGTTCTTTTCAGATAGGATTGATCTTAACTAATGTTTGTTATTGTTGTTGGGGGTTTTTAGTTTGTTTTAAAGCCAACTTTGT